TTTTAATATTCCAACAGTAAGCGCTCATTATAATAAGATGTCAGTTCTTTTCAGAAGTGGGATATAGTCAAAATGCTAAAAGCTGAAAACTTACTCTTCATTTCTAACATTCGTTGTTACTAAATTTTTAAAAGTATTTGTGAATTCAGTGGAGTAAACTCAAGGAAGAAAAAAATTGGGATTTTTTTTTTTTATTTTAAGAGAGTTTTTTGCATGTGTTTATATATATTTTTAGTAAGTGTGTACATTCTCTTTCTAAAGACCTTCCTTTTCTTGTTTATGATTTGCTTCAAGCATGTGTAGAAAATAAGTTCCATAAACTTAGACATGCAGAAAGTATTCTGTTCTTTCCTCATCTTTTTTTTTAAATATTGTTTTTGCACTCGTGAGCTAAAAAAAATCTTTTGAAACTCATCGGTTTATTTATTTAAAAAAATTATCTGTATGTTGTCTTCATTAACCCTTGTTTATCAATAACAATATTTATGGAAAAGCAGGGGGGGGAAAAAGCGTGAAATAAATTAATCTATCAATGCTTGGAAGTTGGAGGAAGAAAGCGAACTTGAGACTTCAGACAGTACCTTCCCCTAGGCTAATTGTTTACCGTTAAAAAGAGAGCTTGCATGCAAGAGGGAGTGGTATGTTTTGGACGTGCTTCCTTGTAACTCATAAATCTTGGCCATTAATTAAGGCTTTCAAATTAATCTGTTTCCTGACTGGACTTTGCTGGTTTTGCATGGAGCTTCCCAGTTTAGGAGTGCTCTCAAATCTGCGGTATGGAAGCGTGATGTTTACTGTGGAGAGCTAACGAACGGCACCTATGGAGGGGGCGTTACTGCTGTGTGGAGGAAATAGGGCGGTGGTATCAACATGGGTTTGTGTACTTTTATTACTTCCCTTACTTCAAACAATGGCAAAAAAAGGCTATTTTATATTGATAAATGTCGGTCTTGAGCAGAAGTATTTTTCTTTCACTATTTTAGGATAGCGTTCTGTCTTTGCAATTCAGCCAGTTTACTCAGGATGATACGTAAATACAGCCAAAAAGTCTCTCTCATGTGGTGGAAAAATACTTCAACTTTTTTTAGAGACTTTTAAAAAATTAATTGATAGTATTATCACTCAGGAAGGGGTTGGACTAGATAACCTTTAAAGGTCCCTTCCAACCCAAACCATTCTGTGATTCTACTCTTTACAAAAGTGTATCTATCTATGTGTGTGTGTGTGTCTCCTTTCTTACTTACGAAGGCATAATAAGGGGCTTTTTACCGTATATTTAATGATTTCCTTCAGATTTAGGATTTTCAGAAATTCATATTTGGGTGACGATACATACCACAGACATTGCACTACAAGTGTTCATGTTATCTTTAGCACAGGTCTGTCTTTTCAGCGTTGAAAGTGAGTCTACTAGCTCTTCCTCTGCAGGGAACGTCCCTTAGCTCGTGCAATGAATTTGCTGTTAAAGGTGAAGCAGCAAAGGCTGCAAATGAATCATCCAGCCAGGCATGGTATTTTAAAACCAGGTAATCCTGGAGGTGTAGTAAAAAACCCAGGTAATCCTACTACATTTTGTAGCTATTTCGAACCAAAAATGTTTTCGTTGTCTGGGTTCCAGTTGACTAGAAGTGTGTTGCAGCAGTCCTCTTCCTTCAATTCTGCATGTGCAATGGATTTCATAAATAGCTTGTAAGGTTTCTGTTCCAGGCTGTCTAATTTGTACAAGTAACCTAGAGAAGTAGGAATTAATCATGACCATGAATAAAAAAGATCTCTCGTTAGCTTTTTAAAGACTTTGTGTTCAATCTATGGAAGTCTGTTACTGCTCGTGTTTTCTTTGTCGTGGAAGTACAAAGAGATACCACAGTGCGAATCGATGTACCCTTTACCAAGGAACTAAAAAATAGTCTGCATATGTGTGCTGTTATCTACCGTGAATATATTTGTCATTACTTTCATATATGTGTTGCACCAAGGAAGATACTTGTTTCTTAATGGCTGATTAGACCAAGTTTCAAAGTCTGAGGGAGTTTGAAATCTGAATTTAACTCCTCGGCAGAATTTCATCACCTTTGTCACTTCAGCCAAAGCCAGACTTTTAATACCTTCTCATTTTGAGCCTAGTCAAAGTTTAGGTTGTTACCCCACAGCATTTCAAAGGTTTTCATGTGCACAAAAAATTCCCTGTAACCAATGGAATTATTTAATGCACATAAAATCAAATACATGTTTGAGCTTGCTAAATCCACGGATTATGTCTTTAATTCCTAAAGATCAAAATGTCTTCTAATTTAATGTATATTATTAATTAGATAGCAGAAATAACAGAAGATGTATCAAGCATTTATTTATTTATTAGTTTTCAAGGTGAGATGTATTTTTGCAGCCATATTCTATTGCTGTCACTTACGTGCCTGTCATTTCCTAACAGTTCATTTCTGTCAAACCAACTGATGCATGAGCCACCCAATGCTGCTTTGTGCGATTAGATTTTTTGATATAGCAAAATGATTTTTCCATGACCAAGAAAACCCCTTGCATTTTAATGGGATCAAAGAGTAGGCATGTTCTATTTCGTTTGGTCCAAGCCAAGTTATTGTAAACGTTTCTGAGTCTTTCAGTATTGCTCTTTACAGATTGCTAATGCGAGACGTGGGGCTATGTGTGTTTGTGAGGAACAGTGGCCAGATGAATCCCTCTCCTTTTAATTGGTGTTTTGAGATGGAGTACAACTCAGTGTGGCCTCGATACTACTGTAGGCAAGTTAAAGATCAGCCTGACTTTTACAAACCAACCTGCCACTCTTATCACGTCTTTTTGAAGCAGCAAACACTTTTTCTTTCCTTGCTCCCATGAGATTATCACCATCCAATAAGTTCTTTCAAAAATAGCTCCATCTGTAGAAATGGGTTACGGAGATGCAGCATCAATGGGGTGCCGGCAGCGAGTTGGGCAGTGGTGGAAATCCAGGTAAGCCTGTCATTCTTGGTAAAAGCACCATGTGGAGCGCAATAGGAAGGCTTGCTAAATTATAAAACGTAACATTAAGAGACTGTGGTAATAAATCCCTCTTCTGCCAGTCTACATCTCCTTGGAAACAGTCCTGGACTTGCTGGGAAATAGGTTGGATTGTCTCATTGGTTTCTTCTTTCTCATGAATTTGATAAATCATTTGACACATCGTATTTGGTAACAAGTAAACCGTATCTCAAAGCCTGAAATGATGCCTGTGTGACATTTACAATTTGAAATCTGTTGTTACATAAGACTCAGAAGGCATTTGTTGTTGCATTTGGTAGTATCTATGTGCCACCTACGTAACAGAAGAAATTATAATCTGCCTTCTTTCTTGCCATATACTCAGGAGGACTGTTTTTGCACCGTGCAGATACAAAATCAGGAACCACATTCAAAATACCTATGGGGCATTATTGCAAATTGCGTCTTTCGCAGGACACACATTTGTTGGGGTACTTGACCCCTGTGGGATGCTACCAGTAGGTTTCATGTAGGTTTCATAAAGCCAGTATGGAGTGGCAGGTGCTGGTTTCACTGCCATTCTGACACAGTACCACTGAAAGAGGGACTTGGAAGACACAGCAAGGAAGCTTAGAAAGTTGCTAAATTAAAAAAAAAAAAAAAAAGTTAAAAAGAGTACAGCAGTAGTTCAACCTATTTAAAAAAAGCGCTTAAAACTGCTGGCTTGACAAGAGTAAATGGAGAGGGGAGGTTAACATGGGTGGTGAGAGCCATGGCCAGTGACAGCTCCCGGGGCCACGGGAGCTGCTCTACTGATCGCGCGGTCCTGGGGCTCCTCGGGCTTTTCCTGAAGAGCCAGTGCAGAGGCCCGTGCAGTATCCTCTTGCCATCGTTGCCCACGCTGTGGTTTCTCAAGGTGAACAAAACAACATTGCTGGTGTTAAAATGATAAACCTAGTCCAGTCCTAGCCCAGTCAGGATCCGCACAGAACAGGTTGTTCCCTGCGAGTCGGAACAACACTGATAACATTTGGCAGGAATAGCAAATACACATTAATATTTGCATTATGATAACAGAGAGAGTCTATTTTGAGGTTTATATTTGCTACTAATAATTCATCCTTGGTTTTGAGATGATTCCTAAAAGAAAGTATCCCTTTCTTAGAGTGGATGGTCTTTCTTGAAAGTTTCTCATTTTTAAAACAGAGAGCTTTTAGTAATTTTATTTTTACCATTTAAAATCCAGCAGTTTTATTGTACTTATGTTTAGCCTGCCAGGACTTTTTCCCACCAGATTTTTTTTGTTTGAAAATAGTGAGTGTTTTTTGCTGTTTGTTTCTTCTTAATTCATATGCAACATTTAAGGAAAGCTTAATTAACCCCAGCATGTAGGGAGAGGGAGAGGAAACAGTGCTTAGTAATTGAGAATATAATTAGCTACATTTATACAGAAGTGATTGTATTACCTAATCCCCCCTTTTTTAAAAAATTTTTTTTGGATGAGTTCAGGGGCAGGGAAGGGGGGGCAGGCACAGGCTCTATAAAAAAAAAAAGTGGAGGGAGTAAAAATGCATCCATGGATCTGGAAAACCGAAATATAATGAGCTATCTCTGTTTCTTTGTAGAGCTGAAGTACTGGTCTTTTTCTTAAAATTCCTTGACAGAGTCAGAGTTTAAATTTCAGCTTAGGAGGTTCGCAAAAGCTTGAAAAAGCCATGCAAGTCAAATGCTATTCTCAAGGTGTAAACGTAGGACCAGGCTGATCCTGGATACGAAGGCCAGTCTTTTTACTGTTTTTTATTAAAATATTTTGTTACTTCTGCTGCAAATTAACAATGGTTTGAACATTTTCTCTCTTAAGTATTGTTCAGTCTTCCTCATTAAAAAAACATTTCCTCAATAATAATAGGTTCCATATGCAGATGTACTATGTGTGTAAAATGATACATATTAATATAAGTAATCACACATGAAAATGTGTTTTTTCGCTTTTCACCGTGTAATGACTCTTCCCGCTCCAGCCTTCTGCCCCCAAAACAAGCAGAACAACAAGAAAACCCGTTGAAAGGAAACTTGCAGTTTTAAACAATTTTCCAGATACCACGTTTTCCAAGTTCAAATGGAGCTGGCAAAGGAGGCGGCCGGCCGGCAGAGATTGATCGCTGACTATTCCAGGAACAGCTCGACTTTCTGTGCAGCGTGCTCGATGCCACGGGCTTGCGTGCGCCTGACAGCGAGCGTACTGAAAGGCCTCGGGTCAGGAAAGCTGTTCACCATGTGCTTCGCTTCAAAAACGAGGGCAAGTCCCTGCTCCTTCGGGATGCTTTACGCTGAGGAGGAGGAGGCTTACTCAGGGGCTTGCAGCTGGGTGTTCGCTTGAGTGTTTTGCTGAACTGCAACGTTGTGGTGAGATGGAAAGACTTCATGGTACTTTGCACACCACCTCAGAAACGTATGGCAAAAGCATTTCTTAAAAAGAAACAAAACAAAAGCCCTTCCCTTTTTAGAGGGTTACAACAGTATTCCAACATTTGCCTGTAGAAATAACACCCGACCTCCATTTCATAAAAAGAGCGCGCCATGAAAAGCCAAGTTACGCATCAGATTGTTCTTCAACCCAGAGGTTGATGACAAATTGAAGAAAGAAAAAAAAAAAAAAAATCCTGAATAAGGTGTAGTGGTACAGGACATAGCTGTCTCATTACTTACACAGGAAAAAATGCAGTTATTAATTTTACTTTTAGAAATTTTGCTTTAGACATTCCTCTGGTAAAAAATTATCTAGAAGCACTAAATTGAATAATTTATTTAGTTTTGTGTCATTGACTTAACTTTTACATTAGAAATAAATTCAGAATGTTTCAGCTTGAAAAGATTTTAAGTATTTGAATTCAAAGTGAGTTTTTCAATATTTCCTTTCAATTTTGTTGCTAAGTGTAATGGGTGACGTTGAATTTGACCCTTTGTTTATTTGGGTTTGAATTAAATGATATATTCTGCTTGGGAAATACTCTATTCTCTGTTCAGCAGAAGGCTTTTACAATCATGCTTTTGGATGAACCTAAAATTAGAGGGAGTTTGGTTTTCTGGAGCAGACAGAGAATAAAAAAGAATATTTTATTTTTTTGCCCATGTTGATAGATGGCACTTTTACTTCAGCATCAGCATCCATGTACAGCTCTTTTCCTGCGGCACCTCATCATTCTTTTAAGAAAACTGTGAGTAGACCAGGTAGCACTAATAGTCTGCAGGCTGCATGTTCACATGGACCCATGGGTTTATGTTCTTATATTTATATTGACTGCACACTTGAAAGGTAGTGCTTTCTGTCTCAGGTGGAAATGGTGAAGTTGTAGGAAATAGGTGTTAAAAAGCCTATAGAAGAATATTTAGTTGATCTGTATCTTAAAATGTATTCTGTTTTTGAAAATGTATTTAAATGATTGTATGATTATACATAGTTGTGGGTGACTAATCTAGTCTATTGCTGCAGGTCATGGGAATAGTCATAAAAAATATTTATTGTGAACATGAACCCGGATACATGCTTTCCCAACATGTTTCCCATATGCTCTGTAAGTAAACAGGAAATCAGATAGAGAAGAATTGAGGAAGGAGAAGAAGCGGGTAAGTGGGGATTCTGCAGCACTGAAACTCCAGCCCTATGTGGTTTGAAGCTGTAACTTGTTTTTTCTCAGAAGCAAAGAAGAGAAAGAATTAGTCTAAGTGGAACAAAGGTGTTCTGCAGACCTAGGAACCCACTGAGGTACAGGCACCGACAAAGAACATAATGAAAATCTTTATCAGAAAAACATTGATGCAAGCACAGAGAAAGCTGGTCATCTCCAGAAATAGCGTGCCGTTTGCTCACTTACGCTTCGTGCTGCAGCAGAGGCTGGTGCTTATCCGCAGACCTCAGCCTGCATGCTCTTTTCCTGACACCAAAGTGGGTTTAGAGAATTGCTGGTTCCATTTCTACAACTCGCCGTTCCTGCCGTTATTGACCTTACCTGGTTGTACCTTGCGGGGTGTATCTGCCAGAACATCCCCGTCAGACGTGTGGTTCTCCGCTCGGTCCTCGCTGCTTGCGTGGGGGAGATCTAAACCAGGGAGACAGGGACATTGCAGATGGCCTCTCTGGGCTATGGTTAGGGGTCTGAGCTGTGAGGACTGCAAAAATGCATTTTCTATTGCAGCTAAAGAGCACGCAAGAACTCCTGAGTTACAAACTTTGCACGCTGGCTGCATGAGTGGGAGGGTAGGAGTTGTGCTTTGGCAGGAGGAACTGTATTTTGACATTGTCACTTCGATATGCATGAAGAGCTTCGATCTCTACTCATTTGTTTGCTCCGTGTTTCTCTGTTTTACCGGACTTACCTTTAATTCTAGCTGGGGAATCAGTCCCAAGGCTCCGCAGCGTCGTTCCTCAGTAAGGAGTTTTTCTTTTAGCCACCACGGCAATTTCTCAGTCACTGAAAGGAGACGTTTCGTAGCTCCAGTATCTTAGGCTGTGAAATTCGCTCTTGGATGCAGCTCACACAGGCTTTCCATGCCCTGCAATCCCTCGGATTTTCCTAACGTCCTTGCCTTCTTTCATGGGCTATAGAAAGTACATGCTTTCTGTGGGAAACGATTGGGAGATTAGAGAGAAGAAGTTGGTTTCAGTCCAAAGGGTGGTGATATATATAAGCACGGTTTATAAGATAAAGCCAAATCTCTATTCTCCGTTACCTCGTGAGACTCCAGCCTAGGGCTAAATGCAGCCACAGACGAATGCTCTTTCTTGTACTTCTAAGGGCACGTCAATGCGAGGAAGTTATCCTGGAATGAGATAGGGTGTGAATGTGAATGCAGTAGCTGTTCCAGCATAACATCCTGTGGAGACAAGGTCTTGGTGAAGTGACTAAAAGCAATGGAATGACTTCAGTGGAAGCTGAGGACACCGAGCCCCCTCCGCGCTCCCCCAGCAGCCAGCCCTCCGGGCAGAGGATGGGCTGAGCCCCATCTCCCCGGCCTGTTTTTTTTTTTGTTTTTTTTTTTTGGTGGGGATCCGACGTCTAACCATCTTTGCACTGGCTGCTATTCCTGACCATGTCACTTGTGGAAATTGTGATTTACTGCTTATTTTGTCAATTGTCAGAACGAGGTCGAGGGTGACGGCCAACAGTGTTACTGTAGGTAACTTGTGAATGCAAATCGTATTTTAACACCCGGCGTGTGAATGATAGGGAATATTTTAGCTCTGCCATCTCTTACTGTTTTTTGCCATTCCTACAGATTGTAACTCGGGCTTTGATCATCCCTGCAGGTATCTAAGGTCTGCTGCTCTCGAAGCAGTGCAAAAGGAAAGCTGCTGCAAGGAGAAAATGTGTACTTGCACTTGTCTTTCAGAAAAAACCTGAAACGTTAGTGTACTGTTTGCAGTGTCAGAGGTATCTGTCTGCACACACTCTTCATGTGGTACTCTGGGAGTTAAAAATCACCTTTTTTTAATGCTTTTGAGGTTGCTACCCCAGTTTTCAGGCCTATGCTATGTCATTCAGTTGTTACCTATTCTTTATGGTCTGCTGAAAATTAGCGTTTATTTTTAAAGTGTCTTTTTCCAGATTAAGTAGAGCATTAATTAGTCAGCACGAGGAACAGAGTGCATTATTCTACCGCAGCTTTCCATCATGTCAAAAACTCATTACCAGATGTAGAGATCATAAACAAACACACATGGCTGCTGCATGTAAATCTTCTGCAAGATAAATTACCACTGATCTCTTCTGATTAGATTGCTTTGTCTTCCAGCTCATTAATACACTTCTAACCATGGAGAATATTTAGGTACTAATAACTCACAAAGCAATATACAGGAGAGCATTAACTTTCCATATTCGTTAAACGTTTCAGCCTGGGGTTTTTTGCGCATGGTCTAGGCTACTCTTTTTTTTTTTTTTTTTTTTAAATCTTGAAAGAGCAATTGCATAGTCAAAATGTTCCTTCAGAATCGGTATTTGCTCTGCAAGGTTTATAGTGGGATATACAAGTAGTCTTCCCAAAGCCCCACAAAGATGATGCTATGGAAATGAATCTGAAATTATTAGGCCAAAGTCTTTGCTGGCACAACCCGCAGGGGAGTTACGCCAGCAGATAAACTGTCCCGAAGATGAATACACCTAATGAAAGCCAGGAATTGCTAATTTAGGACCCAATCCTGCCTGTTACCGAGGAGTTAGATCCCACTGCAGTCCCTGGGACCAGGCCCTGCCACGCCCGGTCCCCCAGCGGCTGCCGTCACCCTCCGCCACCCGTGGGCAGAAGAGGGGCGGCCAGAACCCACGCGCGGAGACCAGCGCCGGGCGAGGGGGTGTCCCGGAGCTGCTGGAGACGGGCACGTCGGGCCTGTGCA